GCCCTGAACCCGCTGGGGCAAGCTGAACCCCAGTGGGAGGCAGGCTGCTAACCAGTAAGCAAGTTGTAAAAACCCAGCTCAGACACAACATCTGGCAGCTGCTTCAAATACTTCTCTGTCTGCAGTCGGAGCTGCTCGCGGCCTCCTGTAAATCAAACCATGTGCACAGAGGACTCCTGGGCCGACCCAGGCACCCGGCCTGGCCCGGCCCCAGCTGCACCTATGGCCTCCGAGAGCTTTAAATAGCCTGGGACTCACATTCCACCTCCCTGTAGGATGAATTCAGAGCAGCTTGGCAGGAGAAGCTTCGGGGATCCGAGCTGCATCCCTCCATCCCAAAGCGAGATGCAGAGAGATGACCTTGAACCTCCATGGCGAACTTGGCAGTTAGACTAAGCCTCAGCCCGGCCTCTCTTTCCAGTGTTCCCCAAGGCAAGGTCACTCTTCCAAGACCCAGGGACACACTCAGCTGGTCAGAGGGAAGACAGAGTCCAAGATCTATATCCAAAACAAATTCCTGGCCTGAGCCCACCCCTGTGGCTTCCTAGCCAACCCTAAGCACCCAACTGGTAGAACATCCATGGATCCTCCAGCAGATCTGGTGCTGTGGGACTGGCTGCAAGAGCCAGGGCAGGAGGCAGGTGGCTAATAATGGTGGGAGCCTGGTCTGTTGGTGGTACCTCCCTCAGGCCTGGCGCTGGACGGTGACTTGCTCCTCTATAGACTGGTCAATCCTCATGGCCACCCCAGGAGTGCCTACTATTAGGAGCTCTATCCTGAAGATATGGGTAGAGGGTTGTGTGTCCACGTTCTCATCCTGGAACCCGTGGATGTGACACGACTCAGGAACAAGGTCTTAGTTGATGCCATTGAGTTGTGGACCCTGAAAGGAGATCATCTTAAGTCCAGTGGCAAGTGTCCTTTCAGGGCAGTCACAGAGCAGAGGAGGGAAGGCCATGGGGAGACAGACCCAGAAGTCAGGGGATTCCAGAAACTGGAAGAGGGCAGGAAATTTCCTCTCCGAGAACCCCAGAGGGGACACAGCCCTGCCTGGATCTTGATGTTGGATTTGTGACCTCCAGGGCTGTCAGAGAATAAACACATGGCATCTGTTTGAAGCCACCCAGTTTGTGGTACGTTGGCACAGCAGCCTCAGGAAGTGAACGCAATGGAGAGTCGGGGTCGGAGAGGCCGACGGGGACACAGCTCTTCCCTACACTGCGCTCCGCTGCCCGCTTATCAGATTGACTTGTAAAAGCGGGATCTCATTTCAAGCTCCAGGGCCCATGAAATTTCCCTGAAACTGCCCTCTTAGGAAAGGGCTGATTTGGGACACCCTGAGGGTACCTGGGCATCCCAGGGGGTGGGCAGAGAATCTTCCAGCTGTCCTATTGCTCTGCAGCCAGGGCTCTAAGTGCTTGGCCGACAATGGCCCACAAATTCTCAAACAACCCTCGGTGGGAATATTCTCCCCATTGGACAAGAGAGGAAGCCAAGGGAAGCCATGGGGGGTTGATATCAGGAAATGTCCCCCTCAAATGCGAATCAGAAGTGAAAGAAGCCAGAAACAAAAGGCCACCTGACGCCTGATTCACTGGAAGGAAATGTCCAGAACAGACAAATTCACTGAGGCAGAAAGTAGATTCCTGGTTGTCACGGGCTGCAGGCAGGGGAAGTGGAGGGTGATTGTGTCAGGGGCGGGGGGGGGGGGGGAAAAAGTTTTTGACCTAGATGGGGGTGGCCACAAGCATGCACTTGAAATGGTGAATTAAAAAAAATTTTTTTTTTTTCTATTTTAGTTTTGATACTGGGGATTGAACCCAGGGGTGCTTAACCACTGAGCCGCATCCCCAGCCTTTCTTTATCTTTTATTTTGAGACAGGGTCTCTCTGAGTTGCTTAGGGCCTCTAAGTTGCTGAGGCTGGCTTTGAACTTGCGATCCTCCTGAGCCACTGGGAAGATAGGGGTGTAGGGCCTCAGCGCTCCACCTGAAATGGTGAATTTGATGTCGTATGAATTTTATCCTCATTACAAATAAAAGGGCAGCTCCTGGGTGGACAGTCCTGTTGGAGACCTTATGGTGTCTCCCTGCTCCTGGTTTGGCTTCCTTGGACCATTTCCTGTGGTAAACGGGCTCAGGGGAAGAGTTCCCCACAGAGGCGTCTCTGCCTCTACCTCCCTGTGGACCTGCTTGGTTCATTTGAGAGCCAGCACTTCATCTTGGGTTTGCTGTGTCGACCCCCCACTCCTGGGGCTCTGCTGCATGTTCTGAGACTCAGGGTAGACGGAGCCGGGTAAACCACGCTAACCAACCGGTGGAATCTCTTGCACCAGAGGTTGCCAAGGTCTCTGGGCCTCAGCCCCATGCAGATCTGAAAGGACTGTGGAGGAATCTCAGAGGGATCTTTAGGGGCTCAACTCTGCAAATAATTCCAGACCCTCGGGGACCCTTGGGGCGATGTCATCAGAATCATCAGGTTTGGAAAGATGTAGATCTCCAGGCCCCACCTATGGTGTATCAAGCTTCCTGGGATTTTGCTTGGTCCCCAAATTTCCCTGTTGTTTCCAGTATGAGGGGTGTCTGGGAACTTCAGGCTGAAACCTCAAATAGGTCCCGTTACTTGTGTGTGTGTGTGTGTGTGTGCAAAACACATGTTAAGCAATAACCGTGGGCCCACCCTCAAAAGCTGTCAGGGGAAGGGAGGAGGCTGAAGGAGGCTGTTCTGTCTCCAGAGTACATCCAGAAAAATCTGTAGGCAGGCCCAGGTGGAAAGACAGACCTAGGGCCCAGTCAGAGAGGTCACCTGCCCCCAGCCAGCTGCCCTCAGCCTGGACTTGTCCACTGAGAATATCCTATCTGTCCATTCATCCCTGGCCCAGGAAGAAGGATTCCCCAGAAGAGCTGGTTTTCTCTTTTCTTTAAATTAAAAAAAAAAAAAATCTGAGCTCAAAAGAGGACACCGAGGTCCAAGTGCACCAGGGGATCCAGGGGATGATCAGACCGAGTCCCGCCTGCCAGCATCCAAGTCCTGAGAAACCCCGGGAGAGCCATGAGCGGCTTCCTCAGGCTTGCTGGGCCAGGACATCAGTTGTTGCTCCTCCAGCCCAATCCAAGCTCATGATTTCCTCCCCGGTTGCCATGGCCCCGGACAGAAAACACAGCAAACTCCTGGCCCTGGGCAGCTCATTTATTTCAAATATTCTTTGCAGCTGGAATCCAACCATGTTTGGGTGTCTGGACTGGAGCAAGAACTAATTGCTTTGCCTTCGGCCCCCTCCCCAGCTCCCCCGGAATAGTTTATGGTTCAGTGAAGTCCACATTCCTCATCCTGCCGAGGAGCAGGAGGGAGGCTGTGGGCAGATGATAGAGACAGGAGTCTTCCCATCTATGGCCAAGCCCTGAGAGTCAGCTACCTGCGCGAAGGCAGGGGATTAATTGCAACCACATGGGCCAAGTCTGCACAGATGGTTTTATTAATACCGCTCCCTTCAGTGCAAAACTCTGCTCCCCAGAAGTCTCCCGGCAGCACAAACGCCCTTCTTCCCCTTGTGCTCCCCCACCCCCATGCCTGACCCCACTCCTCCCCTGCCACCCCCTTCAAAGGAAGCCGGAGTTCTAACTGCAACCCAGACATGAACTCCGACCTAAAAATAATTCGAAACCACCTCTTTCCTCCACCCGTAGCTGGGGCAGGCTTGTGGGGTTCCTTTCCCCAATATTCACCTTGATCTTTGGAGTCTTCACCTAGGAAAAAGAAGATTTATCAGGAATTTGGCTCAGGAGTGCTCGGTCCATCCTCGACGTCAAAGTCCCCATGCAGGAAGTGACATTTTTCCAGGACAGCATGAGCTTTTAAAACACTTGCTGGTGAATTTTCCAGCATCCTGGGTCCTGTTCTCGGAACTTCACATCCCCCTTGTTACTTGCCTAGGAGACTGGGACACTGACAACTGCCATTTTTGTAGGAGGCTTGTCCAAGGCCACATAGCCAGTGTTTGAACCCAGGTCTGACTCAGGAGTTCATGTGCTTGTCCCTGAGCCAAGCCACCACCACACTGAAATAATTTCCCTTTACCCAGCAACTTTGCAAGAGAAAGAGCTGACACAGACACAAAGTGTGGTGTCCTGACAGTCTTGGGCAAGGTCACCTGGGGAGTTTGGGGACAGCACAGATTCCTGGGCCTGGCCCCAGAAACACTGAATCTGCCTGTCTCGGGTGGTGCCCTGGAATCTGCATTCTGACAACTTCCAGGCGGGCCTGAGGCCAGGGTTCTGAGGAAGGAGGCGCTCAGAGGAAGGGACAGAGCACTTTGGTCCTAGGGACCTTGGGCCCTTAGCCAGGCACTTCTCACAGCAGGTGAGAAGTCCCTGCAGTGAGTCCCTGCAGTGAGCTGAGGGGCTCTTGCTGGTTTTTTTTTTTTTTTTTTTTGAAACAGTGACAACATGAGATCACATCTAGTACATTTTTTGACTGTTCACATATCACTCATTGAGCCTCCAAATAAGCCAGATTTCCTGACCTTCTAGAGAGGGCCCTGCCCACAGCATTGGCAGGATGGCTTCAACAGGCAAGAGCTTGGCGAGGGAGCGTCACTACACCTGACCCTGGGGACAGAGACAAGTAAGGATCCGCAGTTCTGCAGAGTGCTGAGCCTGGGTCTGAGGATGCCACACTGGGTCCCACTGGGGTCGTGACAGCTTCTCCCACGGGTGAGCTTCAGAACTGGGCAGCTGAGCCAGAGGCGCTCACAGTGCATGGAATCGCTTTGTAGGCTCAGCAAGTGCCCTTCTGTTTGGCTGCCGGGCTACACACTCCTGAAAGGGGCTGGTGTGTCCTAGGGCTGTCGTCCAGGGCTCTCCTCCACCTGAGGCTCTGGTTGGCATCCCTCTCTTGCAGGTGGCAGGGAAAACCATGGGCAGCGTTGCGGGCTGGACCCAGGCGGGCTCTGCCATGCCTCTTTCCCCTCCCGCAAAGCACAAAGGAGGGATTCAGAAGTGGTTTCTTATTTTAACAAACTTTCTTTTATTAGGTTACTGGCTATTATGAACCATCATAAAATAGAACGGGAGTTTCAAAACTATACACGCCACAAGGCTCTGGGCTGAGAGGAGAGAAAGGTGGGTGGAGGGAGTGAAGGCCAGGGAGGCAGAGAGCCCGCATCCATCAGCACCCACGGGGGACACTGGTCAAGGAAGCAAGCTGGAGCCTGTACAAGTGAACCTCTGTCATGTGCAAGAGTGTCAGAATGTGACCCACCCTGAAACGAGAGCAATCTTCAAGAGCCCGACAGCTAAGGTCCCCTTCCCCAAAAGGAAAAAAAAAAAAACCCTCAAATATTCAGGGGGTAATTTACATTCCTCACCCAGTCTTGGCACCAGTTTTGTGCTTTAAAAAATAAACTCCACTGGAAGAATTTTATTTTTTTAAAAAAAGGTACCCTACAGCAGCTGCTTAAAACATAATTCTTATGGACAAATATATATGCATATATATTAAACATTTCAAACAAATAAAGTCATCTATTGTACCTGTGCAGAAAGAACAGAGCTCAGACTCCAAGGGAGTTGGTTTCAAGACAAAAGGTGCTGGGACACCACACGGGGGCGTTGCTGGGGACAGGCATCCTGCTGCTGGCCACCCTTCACCACCCTTGGGGTCATGGGGGAGAGGAGCTCCTGCATGTGGGCCTGGAGCCCAGGCAGGTGCTGAGCAGAGGTTCACACTGGCTTCGTGAGGTGGACCCCACGCCTGCTCTCCCCACCCTGCCCTGCCTGTGGCTTCTAAGGGGTGGGGACCCTCTCACTCCTTTTCTTTATTCTGGGGTCCTCTGGGACACAGAGCTTCTGAGGATGCACTTGGGAAATCTCATCTAGAAAAGCAGATGCGAAATCAAACCCACACCAAAAAAAAAAAAAAAAAAAAAAAAATCATAGACAACAAAAGAAATCCAAACATGTGCAACGATATATGAACTCAAGAGGTAAGTGGCTACCTGGGGACCTGGGGACCGGCACAGCCCTCTCAGGTGGGCTCCCTAAGACACTCCTATTGCACGTGAGGCTAAGTCTCTCTGAGGGGCCTGCTTGAGGACTCAGCGTGGAGCTTCAGGAAACGAGGGAACTACAACAGAGACACTCTGTGCCTGAGCACCAGGGCACCACGCCACGGGCACGGCCCAGGAAGGACAGGTGCGACACACACATCCTGGGGAGGCAGCAGCTGGGGGAAAGGCAACAGAACGCGCCAGAGAGGTGACCGAAACGAGGTTTCCTTTCCAAATGGAATAAATAAACGACCTTTGTTATGGTTAAAAGAATAAATACAGGGGATGGGTGCTGACAGGGATGGGTGCTGGGTGCTTATCTGCCTGTGGCAGGTCCGACCTCAGCTTCTGCCTCGGGTCCATGGCGTCTGGTATCCTGAGCTGCATGTGCAAGCCTGGCCCTGCCCTTCCCACTCCTGCTATCTGCCCTCGAGCCCTGGCACTTCCTGCCAGCTCCGCCACCTGGGACCCCCCGGGGGCTGCAGCCTTTCCCCAGAGGTGTGGACAGCAAACCATGCCCCCGCAGCAGACAGGCGCTCCACGTGGCTTTCGTAGAGTTTATTCTCTGCGTCTGGATTCAAGGAGGGGCTGCGATCCTGCCTGCCGGGACGCTGCCCCCTGCCAGCCCCGGGGACGGGGAGAGGAGCCCCAGCCAGCATCTGTCCAGGTCTGGCAGAGGCAGCCAGGACGAGGAGGAAGAGTAGGCACTTCTGTCCGTGGCCGCAGGCTGCGGTCTCAGGCGCAGGGTGCGGTGGCCCCGGTGGCTCAGTGAGTTGGCACCAGGTGGCGGTCGGGCAGCAGTCCTGGGGCAGAGCGTCACTGGTAGAGGAGGTAGGCCTTGAGGGCGGCAGGCAGCGGCAGCGCAGGGATGGCACCCAGGCGCTCCTTCCCCAGGGCCAGGCGCACCGAGCGACGGCAGAGATCCATGAGCGGCAGGGGCTCGGCTGGGAAAAGCCAGAGAGAGAACCGGAGGTCAGTGACAGCGTCCACACGCACAAGGCCACCTTCGCTCACAGCATTGCAATGAGTGAATAGCAAGGCTGATTTCTAAGTGCATAGAAGCTAACCTAGAAGCTTCCAAAGTCCTCTGCCCACACTGACTCATTCAGGTCCCTTGATGACTGCCATGAGTGATGCGATCAGAGATGCCATGATGATCATCCCCATTTTAGAGAAGAGGAAATGGACAGAGTCTAAATACCTTGCCTGGGTTGTCCGAGACGGAGCTGGGACTTGAACCCAGGCCATCCCGGGGCTCCCCACTGGGTACTGTTCCTGTCTTTGATTTATGGCAGAGAACCACTGAGGTCTAGAAAGGGTCCCTAACATGCTAGGATACAGGCTGAACCTGAATTGGGTCAGACTGCTTCCAGCATCCACATTTGTAGCCACCAAACTGTAGCCCGTTAAGACATAAGAAACACCAGCCCAGAGCCACGTTACAGGTGGTGGCGCTGAGGAGCCTTTCCAGCCAGCTGCCCCCACAGCCTGATAGCACAGGGTTTGGCCACTCCCACTGGCAGGTTGGAACCAGAGAAACTTCTTTCTGCCCTACAGAGTGGCGCAGGGAACCTGTAAATGCCCCAAGGACAGCGGGGGCCACTTCCCTGCACCGTCCCAGACACCACCAGGGTATTTCCCAGGCAGAGGCGCTACAGACACTCAGAAGAAAGGGAACCTTCCCCTAAAGCCTTCGGAATCTTCTCCATTCAGTTCCCAAAGGGCCCAGGCCCTGCCTTGCTACAGAGGAGGACCTGGCCAGCTGGCATCTCAGGAGTTTGAAAATCACCCTTTCTCAGGCTTTGCAGCCCCCCCCCCCCACCGAGGCTGCTGAGACCGAAGACAGCTCGGCTCACCCAGCCTCCCCAAGGCAGCCCCTCTCTGCTCTCTGCCCCAGAACAACCACAGGTGAGCACACCTGGAACTGCTCGGCACCTGCTGGGTTCTGAGCGTGGAAAGAGCAGAAATGAATGGATTGAGCCTTCTTTGGGAGTAAAATAAAGTTCAGACCAAAAAAACTGGAAAAAAATTCAATTCCATCGATTAAAAAGTGTATTCTTATTTTTAAAAGTCCTTTCATATTCACCAATGTGCCTCAAAAATATTAAGAAATAATATTTAAAGGGCTGGGGTGTAGCTCAGAACAGCATGTGCTTATTAGCATGTGCCAGGCTCTGGGTTCAGATCCCAGCTCTGCGAACAATAAATAAATGCAATTCAATTCAATTTTAAAGTGACATTAAAAGCCTTGAATGTTGAAAGGCAAATCTTATGGCTAGGGAAATGGGAGTCGTCTAGTGATGGCTGGGAGCTTCTTTTTGGGGTGAAGAGAATGTTCTGGAGCTGACTGTGGTCATGGTTGTACCCCTAGACACCATGATCGGAACACTCCAGTAGCCGGACTAGATGGCACCCAAATTATATCTCAATGAGGCTTTTATGGAAACAGAGTAAATCTTAGGCTGGATAATGCACTTACTAAATTCCAGACTTTGAAGGAAAGCCCTAGTTGCTCTTCTCCTTCCTGTAGCTACGGCTACAGCTAGACAGAAGAACCGAGATGGTAAACATTGTTGATGGAAAGCTTTGAACTGGGGCTTTTCCCGGACAGCTCAGGATGAAATCCGGGAGCCCTGCCCATACCAGGAGGTTGAACTAAGTGAACCTCTATCTTTCAGGACCAAGGACCCCTCCAACCTCACCTGCCTACTCAGTCTACACCAGGACACTCTGGACCTGGCTTCTCATTCCCCCCTGCACACAACACGACTTTCCCTGTCCCAGGACAGGGAATCCAGAGCAAAGCCTTGTCCAGCCAAGACCTTGAAAACCTGAAGTGCTTTGCAGCAGCTCTTGGCTGGGGCATGGCCATTGAGAGGAAGCCCTTCTGCATGGTGCAGGGTGCAATTCAAGAGTGCATACCCATGGCTGCCCAGAGCCTTCCATCTGCCCCTCGTGAGGTCCAAAGAGCCTGAGTCCCCTCCCTGGAGGATGCAGATTGGCTCCCACCCTTGATGCTCTGCTCAGTGTCCTAGGGACTGACCATGTACGTCTATGTTCCCATTTGGATCCTCCAGTCAACTGTGCCCAGACAGGATGGGGGAAGACAGGAAGCCAAAGGCCCTGGCAGTGCCTCAGTTTGCATCTGCATATGGGTAGGGGAGGCCTCCTCATCATTGACCAAGAGGGTCCTGGTGTGACGGTTGGAGTCTCCATGCAGATTCCAGCTCACAGGTATAGTACCCAACTACACATTCCCATCTCTCCTTCCCCCAATCCCTAGAATTTTTCAAACAAGAAAAATTACAAACATTTTCAACTTCCCAATAGATGCAGGATAAGCATCGCCTAGTCAGAGAACATGTGTCTGGGCCTCGGGGACTGTGTCAGCAGAACTCTGAGCTGTGCCTATATCACCAGGACTCATCGGCCCAGACCCCTCCCGGTGCTCCAGGTCTGTATTCTGTTCTAGTGCAAGGACACACAGACAGCAAAGCGGTGTGGCTCACAGGACTTGTGACAGTGTCGGCAGGCCTGTTTCCAGAGGGACCAATAGTCTTGGTGGCCAGGCTGTGATGGTAGGCTCATCAGTCCCCTCATCTGGTACAGAATGGACCTTAACCTCGCTAGCTCCATGGCACCTCTCTGCTTGGAGGATGGAGACTGACCCAAGGGCCAGGGATCCCCAAGATCTTAGGTGCTGGCAGCATATGCCCAGGGCTCCCAATCCCTGCCCATCTCGGCTCCTGTACCGACACTCAGGGGACAAATTTGGTTGTGAACTTATGCTACTCATTTCTATCACCTGGGGAGATGGACTCACAGAACTCGCTCTCTTGGTTCCCTAGTGCAGGTCTCAGGTGAATTCCTCAGGAGCCACCTGCTGGATGCACACCTGGCCCCCCTGCTGGGAATGCCATGACCTCAGGGCACTGCCCAGGTGAGGATGGAGCAACTGGGAGCCTGCACGCAGACATGCTGCCCCATTTGGCTGTCAGCTCCCTGTCACTCCTCAGACAAAGCCAGAAGGGAGGATCCAGAGACAGAGCAGAGGGGAGGCTTTCAAAGAGAAAGCCTTCAGAGTTAGTTCACGCCTGACCACCCTCCATGTTTCAGTATTTTCCAAAGATTGGTGGCAGAGGGGGAGGAGGAGGACGATCAGGAGAACCTGCAGTTTTGGAGTCTGTGAGACGGTCAAGCAAACGCCCTTAACCTCAGGGGGGCCTTGCCCACTGCCCACTTGGCTTGTAGGGCAGGGCTAGGATTCAGGGTGTCAGGCCAAACCTGCTCTTAAAGACAGTCAGCCCACGGGGCGGATGGAGCTTCCTGACCCACTCCTTTCCAGAGGTGGGATAGGCAGGCAGAAGGGACCTGTGAGGCAAAGAGCCCAGCGTGGGGCCCAGCAAGGGGCAGACAGTTCTGGAATGCCAGGACCTCCCGCTAGCCCAGGCACCTCGCCAGGCAGACACAGAGCCCTCCGCCTCCCAGCACACACAAACTATTTTCACACAGTCCAACAAAAGCCACTCCCCTTTCCAAAAGAGCAGGCAGAACTTGCTGTTGCTGCTGCCTGTTTCTAATCCACACACTCCTCCCCCAGTCTGCTGACACCGTGAATGAACACGCCACTCTTGGGACAGTGTCTGAAAGGAGCCTCTAGCACCAGGAGAGAAAAACCCAAAATTTGTCTGAAGAGTGACAGAGGCCAGTGGTTTTCATTTATCTGAGAGGGCCTAGCACCCCCAAGGCTGCAAATCCCAACTCAATAATATGCTGGCTACCATGCTGGAGTTTGGTCAACTGCAGGTCAAACCTGGAGGCAGGATAATCAGAGATAAACAAAGATCATTCATCCATCTATTTGTTCATCCATCACCCATCTATCTAGTCATCATCCATTCAACCAACCACCATCCATCCATCCATCCACGCATCCCATCCATTCACCTAACTATCTATACATCCCTTCATCCATCCATCCATCCACCCATTCATTCCATCCATCCATTTGTTCATGGACCCATCCATTCAGCCACTCATTCTATCTGTCCGTCCACCCATCCATCCATCCACCCACTCTTCATTCATTCATCCATCCAGCCATCCATCAAGCAATGCCAAATGATTTAGCAAACTCAGGCTAGAGTTTCTCATGGAACCAGATGCAGGTAAGAGCGGCCTTTGAGGGTCTGAATACATGAGGACATCTACTTAAAAACACTTTAGGTCCAACAGCTGCATAAACTTTAGCCCAAGCCCAGATGGGACCACAGGGACCCGGGGAGGGTACTGCCTCCTACAAAGCAGGCAACACTTACGATCGAGTCCGTTCAAGTAGCGCATACGGATCTCACAGTGGCCCCAGACGGCGCTCACTACAGGATACAGTTTTTTGCCCTTGAGTCCCCGAAAAGCCACTCCCATGTATTGTCCATCCACAATGAAGCTCAGGGTCCCGTCATCCATGTCCAAGGCCACAAGGAAGGAGTCAGGGACAATGAACGTCTCGTCCGGCTCCAGAAAGGCCGGGTACGTTTTGCTCGGCTGGTTCTTGCCATCATGGTAGAGCCGGTTCCGCCCCAAGTCCCAGCCCCAGGACTCGTGGTTATTCCCCACGAGGGTCGTGTACCCCACGGAGTGCAGGGGGGCGTCTGCTGTGGCCACCCCCACTACGGCATGTGTGCCCCGCTGTCTCATGGCCCACGTGATCTGCCACACGTGCAGCCCGCGCGTGTACCCGACTTTGCCCCTGATGGCATCTGTGCTCTGGGCCACCGGATGCCGGTGAAAGATCAGCTTGTCGTCCTCCTTCACAAAGACGTTGAGTGAGCGGTCGTTGTTGTTCCAGGAGTGGAGCAGCTGCACGTCGTAGGACACGGGGGGCATGTCCAGCAGCAGGTCCAGCCGGGTGGGCTTGCAGTAATCCAGGCCCTGGAGCTCCTGCTTCAGGGGCCGGTATGTGGGGTCCCGCATGTCCACAGTCTTGATCCCTCCGGTGACCTTCTGACCCATGTTCGCCTGGTTTCACCTTCTCGCTGGCTCCCAGGGCAAACTCATCAATCTCCGGGCCTCAGCTCACTCTCTAACCGGGGCCAGGCAGAATTCCTAAGGAAGGTTGCTAGGAGACCTCCGCACGTTGTGGAGCATTCCGTGGCGTCTAATGGATGGAAAGAAAAACAGGAGGCCGGGTGAGCAGCAGCGCGGGGTGGAGGGAAAGCTACCTAGGAGAGCAGGGCTGCCCGTGCCAGCGTGTCCCAGGGCCTGGCGCCGGGCTCCCCTCACACCTGACAAGGGGCAGCCTGGAGCCTTGGCACAAAATGAAATGTCCCCTGTTCCCCTGTTCCCGTGGCTATGCTGTCACAAAGGGAAGGGGCTCCGTGCCCTGCGGTCTGCATGGAGGCTGGACTTGAAGGCCGACACCATTCTCAATGTGTTGGGTCAGTCTGAGACAATCAGGGGACAGCAGAGCCCAAGGAGCAGCAGAGACTGTGGAAGACACCAGATCCCCGCCTTCCCCTCTCTCCTCCAATACAGCCAGCTGCCTTGGACGGACAGCCTGGGAAGGAACCAGGACGGAGACCGGAAACTCAACCTGGGGCCTGTGTGTGCACTGGGTGGGAAGGGCCCCAGAGGCTCCTGGTACCCCTAAGGTTGCAGCAACTCCCCCAACGGGTCTTGTCCCACCCAGAATGAGGAGCCCGCGATGCCCTTCTCAAGGGCCTGGGGCAGGTCCCCATTCAGCTGAGGGGCGGCCTTACTTCACCCCCCTCCCCCGAGTCTGGGGCTAACACCTGGAAGACCAGCTGCCTCTCTTGCCCGCCGGCCCGCCCTTCAGCTAGAAGCCAGCAGGTCACACTTCAGGTCTCAGTGGCCTACTGGGAGGAAGTCCGACCCCAGGGGCTCTCCTCCCTCTCGGGCTTCACTGTCCCTGGATTCCTGAGGGGACACAGAGATCTCACTGCATCTGTTCCTGTCATCCCCCGCACCCCGCAGCCCAGGAAGAGCAGCAGGAGGGCAGAATGTCCCCACCTCTCGGTGTCCGGCCTCAGATGAGGGCAGATCACCTGCGCTGCTGGGCTCCTGGGCCTCACTCGAGAACAAAGTTCTTTCTACCATCAAAACCGTCCTTGAGTTGAGGAGCATTCTGCTGCCAGGTATAACTGATTAGAATGCATGAATAAATGGATAAATAAGACCTCCCTGGCCTCTGGGAGGGACGTTTGCCACTGGGTTTGGGAGATGACCACAGAGGCACGGTCATCTCTTCAGGAGCCTAGGATCAACCGGACAAGGTGGGGAGGGAGGCTTCTGGATAAATAAACTTAACAAGAGTTCAAGGAAGCTGGGTGGAGGCCATTGAACTTGGCCCCTGGGGACAGGGTCACACTGGGTCATTTGTCCCAAGAAGCACTAAGGTTCCTGAAGATAGGGGACAAAGAGAACACAAAAGGTCTATGTCGAGGAGGCTGGCAGACACAGGGACATCTGGGTACAGTAATGGCCTCCTGTTTAGCCCCAGAACGGCAGGGCCAGCAGGTGGGCAGGGTCTGTGGTGGGACCAAACTGAGCCGCCTTCCTCTCAGCTGGGGAGAGACGGGGTGAGGCCACAGCCTCAGGGTGGCCGGGCCTCCTGTAGACTCCCTCTCTGTAGAACATTCCATGTGAATGCTGGGTGCTCAGGGGCCCTTATCCTGTGAGCAGGTAGCATTTGTCACCTTCCTTTCTGGGTGTGAGACAGAGGGCTCCCTCCATGCTAGAGGCATGGTCATCTCTTCAGAGACAGGCTAGGGCCTGTGTCCAATATTGGGCAGGCCAGCACAGAGCTGAGATGTCCCTCTCTGCAGCCGAGGGACTGCCCTGTTCCAAAAGCTCTGTGGACACTATGACTCTGCCTACTGAGTCTCCAAAGACAATCCCCATTCGAGCTTTCAGTGGGGAGATACTGGGTTTGGGTGCAGAAATGGGATTTTGCTGCCTAAGACCTTGCTAGCTCCATCGTCACAGTAGGAAGGAACTTTCTGGCCAATCTCATTGATGGGGACCCCGTCCCCCAACACCTACACAGGGACAGTGGGAGTGAAGAGGAGGCTGGGGTGCGGAGATGCTGGGAGAGGAAGTGAAGAGGAGAGGCCTCCCAACATGGCAGGGAAGTGGGTGGGGGGACGACCCGGGCCTGGGCGCACAGGGAACCCGGGTTTAGCTAGACCGGAGGCCAGCGAGTTTTCTCTGTCGGGCGAGATGTGCTCTCTGTGGGCCAGACCCTCTCCATGAGCTACCAGCTCTGCCACTGGAGCATGGAAGGGTCTGTGGAAGGTGTGGAAGTCAGAGCCTGGCCCAGCCCAAGACAACTTGGACGCCCCCTTCCTGGGAGTCCCCAGGAGCGCAGCTCACCACTTGCCCCTCTCCCAGGACTGCAGGCTGGCAGGGCACCTCCCTGGCCCTGCCTCCCGAGGCTCCCAAAGCCATGCAGCACAATGGTGGTGGTCGCCAACTAGAATTCGCCTTTGACTTTTCTGAGCGTCCACTGGTTCACCTGTCCTTTGGATGTCACCTGTAGGTCACAGGCTTGCCTAAAACTCAGCAGAGACAATGTTCCAGAGAGGGCCTGGTGCATTTTGCTTTTGTTCTTATTTTCTAGAATGTGCTCCATTCACTGAAGAAAGACCACTGCTAACCGGTGTTCCTGGTCACCACACCTGGCCCAGCAGGCAGACACTGCCTTTTGGCCATGACCCAAGGGCATGGAGTGCTGGGCTGGAACAGATCACGGTTAAGGTCTCTTCTAAATCAAGGCTCAGCAGACTCCCTCTGTGCATGGCCAGATTGCAACTATTTTGGGCTTTCCAGACAACATGTAAATAATGGTGTGGCCAGGTCCTAATAAAACTTTAAGAAAACACACAGCAGGCTGGATTTGGCCCAACGCTGTTCGCTGACTCCTGTTCTAAACCTGTGCGAAGCTTCTGACCCCTGCACCAAAACACTTGGATGTGGAGCTCAGGATGGGGGTGGGGTGGCAGCACCCACAGCTGCTGAGTGACAGGGATGTCACTGGGCCTTACAGCTCCTGCTCACACTGGGCCGAGATGGCTCCCTTGGGCCAGGAGAGAGTCCAGTGTGGGGACCAAACTGCTGTCAGGAAGGGGGCAACTCAGCCCTGGGATCACCTGTTTCCTGCTGTTCTGAGAAGCAAATGCAGAAGCACAAGCCTCACAGAACCTAGAGGTTCCAGAGGAGTGCCAGGACCTGGTCACCGAGCGAACCCATGACAAGTCTCCGAGAGGTGGGAGGACTCAGCCTCGTCCCCACCCCGGAGAAGCCAAACCACAAAGGGTGTGCAGTGTGCAGGGCTGGAATGTGAGAGCAGAGGACAGAGATGGCTGTGCTGTCACCTGACCCATGAGCTTTGTGCAACTGTGCACGCCTTCATGTACACACACACGCCGTGTGCCTGCACATGCACCTGGTGGGCACACGTGTGCCACACAGACAGTGATGGGCAGTGGCTGTGGGGGCTGCTGGCCAGTGGCTCCTGCTCCTCACTCCCTTAGCAGAAGTTTTAAATCCCAGAAGGCACTCTCTCACAGTGACCAGCTGTCCTCTCAGAGGACACCTGCCCACTCCCCCTCTTTGCTGTCTCAGACCAAGATGATCAGATTCCTGGTGGGGTGTGTGTGAGTGTGTGTGAGTGTGTGTGTGAATGTGTGAGTGTGTGTGAGTGTGTGTGTGAGTGTGTGTGTGAGTGTGTGTGTGTGTGAGCGTGCAGGAGCTCTGACGGCAGGTCCGTCACGCTTACGGGGTGGCAGGAAGATGGGCAGACATTCTGGGCCAGGAACTCCTACCAGCACTTTTCTACAGGTAAAATCAGATTGGAGCATAGATCAAAAGGGTCAGGGTAGAAAAATAGCCATCAAAGGGTGGGCTGGAGCCTGAGAGAAAGGACACAATGGGCTGTCAGCCGTGAGTCATGACCCAGAGCTGCCTCTCCCTGGGGTCTACGTTCCGAAGCCAACGCCCGTCGTGGGACTGTGCGTCGGGAGAGTCACTCAGGCGATCCTTGGGGAGCCGGGGGCTGGCCGGCTTCCCCAATGAACCCGTGCGCCCTCTCCTCCTTGGCAGTGCTGTGGGGTCAGGTTAGCGCACCTTGACGAGGGTCTGGGGGTGACCCCGGTCTACAGGTGGGATGTACATGGGGCCTCTGCCTCTCACCCTCCCTGTCCCTCTGCTCTCTGGTCACAGCTCCCCCTTGACACCGGCTGCTGTGCCTGCCACCACAGCTGGGGGTGAAGAGGGGAGACAGGTCCCCAGTGTCGAAGGCGGGCACGGAGGGTGGGGTGGGGCAGGCGGGGGGCATGCACAATGGAATCGAGCTGGCTGCTTTCACCGGCCCCCCTAGGCCCTGTGGCTGGCCTGCCCACACCCCCTGCCCCGGCCCCACACACTGTCTTTACTGGGGTCACAGGTGAGTTCATGATTTCGTGAAAGGGGTGCCTCTCAGGAGCAAAAGCCTTCAACCCATGTCCCCAGTGGTTGTCAGGGGTGGGGGTGGCGAGGTGCTAAGAACCCAGCAGAGCCACAAGCCCACAGTGGTAGACAGCCTGGCTTCTAAGGACGTGAGCTCCCCAGGGCCTTGTCCCCCCACTGCCGGCTGCAACAGCCACTTAAGATGGTCTCGGCCCGGGGGGCCCAGCACTGCTACCCCAGGGGAGGCCTGCTTCAGAGAGGTTTGCTGGCCACAGCTCTCAGTGGGAAGGGAGAAGAGAAGGTCACAAGCCAACTCCTTCCAGTCTCTTGGGCTCCTCCAGGTGGGCTCCTCTTCCCCTAGGATGGGGGGGGTGCGACGAGCAAGTGACAGGTGAAAAGGAAGGAGGTGTGGAGGGCCAGGGGCACAAACATACCCAGAGAGCACTGTTGGGGGGTCCTAGACCTGTGCAGGCCAAGGGCACCGGTCCTACCCACAGCCTGGGATGGTCTAAGCCAGCCATCACATTGCAGAGGGAGGGGGCTGGGGACAGGAAAGACCACCTGGACATACGGTGGGGTACACTGGCTGGCTGCTTCACCCCAAGTTAGAGGGGGACGCGGAGCTTGGCGTGGGACCACTGAGGGGTGAGCGCACAGGGGGTGCTGTGAGTTAAACACCTGAGAGTCACAGGC